CTTGTGCAATAAGTTTTTTTTTAATTTTTTAAAAATAGGCTTACAACTGCAGTTGATCTTCCTCCAGAATTTATTCATCTTTATATCTCTAATTGTATATCTACATGTGAACAAATTAAAGATAAGTATATGCAGGTATGTGTTCAGTAGCATGTTAAAAAATCTGCTGTAGTTTCTTGCTTAAGTGCTGTCGTAATCACTTATTTAGCTTTAACTCTGGGTAGTTTAAAATCTACATAGAAGTCTAATTCGCCTTATGCAATGTTTACCATAAAGTATTACTATAATATTAAGGGTATATGGACTGAAATATATTCTACAACAGATAATCCAAACTTCCAAAAATATAAAATTATTGCAAAGCACTTTCCAAGATTTGTACTAATGGCATATTCTGCTGCTTCCTATAGTCTTTTGCAGTATGTATTTCAAATTTCAAGGAGCCAGAAAAGTTGCCTCTTGCTCATACACATATCTAAAGTAAATAAATAAATAAATAAATAGTTTGTGCACTCACATAGCTGTCTGTGTATTGAAGCTTCCACAATGCCAGTCTTATGGCTGAGTGCCTGGCTATTAAAGACTGCCTGGCTAGAAAACGTGTAAACATGGAGACAGCTCCGAAAGTTGGCTTATTTGCGAAATCTTTCCTACTTGTATTCTTGAAGGCTTTCACAGCCAGGATCCGATGGTTGTTGTAGGTTTTTCGGACTGTTTGGTCGAGTTCTTAAGGCAGTGATGGCAAATCTTTTTGAGCCTGAGTGCCCCCAAACTACAACACAAAACCAACTTATTTATTTCAAAGTGCCAACACTGCAATAAAACCTGAATACTGAGGCACTATCACTATATATGAGGCAAAAATGATGAAATTGAGGTTGTCCTACTTGGGCACATCTTAAAAATGCAGGATTCTCTGGAAAAGACAATAATGCTGGGAAAGGTGGAAGGCAACAGGAAAAGAAAAAGATCAAACACAAGATGGACGGACTTGCTATAGAAAGTCACAGGTTTACAAGAGTTTACAAGAACTCAGCAGGGCAATTGAAGACAGGTCATTTTGAAGATCGTTTATTCACAGAGACTCGGTTAGCTACTAGCCTGATGGCTCGCATGCCCAAAGAGAAGACTGCGTGCCAGCTGTGGCACACGTGCCATAGATTCGCCATAACTGTCTTAAGGTATCTTAACCTTAAGAACATGGCCAAACAGCCTGAAAAACCTACAACAACCATCTTTCCTACTTCATTACACTTTTGGGAAATGCATTTTTTAACGTACTGCTTATAGCAAATTCGTCAGAAGACTGACATTTTCACTTAGAGGGAACTCCTCCAGCAGCTATGTAACATTTCAAATTAGAAATCCAGATGAACTGCAGAATTGAATAATGAGACCTGCAAGCTTTATTGAATAGGACTATGAAGTAAACAGTTTTTCCACTCTTGCATGTAATGTTTTATCTTTAATAATAGCTAATAAGAAAATCCTTAACCTAATTTTGGGAACTCATACAGAATTTTTTATTTCAGAACCGGCTGGTACGTCTTGTTTGTGTCTTCCTACAGTCGTTGATTCGCAACAAGATAATTAATGTACAGGACTTGTTTATAGAGGTACAAGCGTTTTGTATTGAATTCAGTCGAATAAGAGAAGCAGCAGGCCTTTTTCGATTGTTGAAGACACTTGACACTGGTGAAAATCCTCCAGAGACGAAAACATCAAAATAAGACTTGATTTGGAAGATTTTTTTGTTGGTTTAGAATGGTGTAAGATTTCTGTATAGTTGATTCTGTTCCTTGAAATTAACATGGTATTTGTGCTGTATTAAATATTACTTTTTTTTTCCTTTTGGAGAAGTTTGAATTTTGACATCCACACATATCTGAGCATCTGTTGATGATTTTGAGCTACGTGAGGAACTAGCCTAACTTGCAGGTTAGCAAGATTAGGACTGTTGATGATATCATCTGGAAACAGTTGAGTTTTGCTTAATTTGACTGCTGAATTATTAATTCATGTGTGGTCTAGTGGATCCAGTAATGGACTGGGAGAGGACTGGGTTTGAATCCCCCCTCAGCCATAGAAACTCTCTAGACTTGTGGAACTGGTACAATTACTTGAAGTGCTATGGGGCGGTATATAAGCAGCATGCTTTGCTTTTGCTTTGCTTTAAATATCTCATTTATCTTGAAAGCCCTGTCAGGGTCACTGTCAGTTCTGACTTGAAGACATAACCATTCAGCTTCAAAGGGTAATGTTGGTTTCTGAAGTTACTTTTTTCTTTACAGAGGTATAGTCCCTGTACAAGGTTTTAGGACAGGGTATGCACATTTAAAAAATTCAGAATACTGTACTTAACTGAAGATGAAACAGACTAGCTGTTACTGTAATCATACAAAGGCATAAGCAAGTACTTAATTAGGGTGGCCATCTTGTGTGTTTTTTTAAAGAAAGCACTTCACACTTGTTGCACTACAGCATTGAAGAGCTTCAAAAGGGGATAAAGAAAAAAAGCCAAGTGTACTGCTTAAAGCACTCTCTTAATGAGTGGTCCCCAACCTTTTTGGAACTGTGGACCGGTTGGGGGTGGGTGGGGGCACCCCCGTGCTCATGGGGGGGTGTCACACTCGCATATGGGCATGTGCAAGAGCGTGACACGCCCACCGTGTGAGAGGGCAGAGATCCATCTCTGCGGGCCAGTCCTGGAAGCCCAGGGACCAGCTGCAGACTGGGGGTTGGGGACCCCTGCTTTAGATGGTTTACAATTAGAGATGACAATATTTGTATACAAATGTCCCCCCACAGGTGGAAATAACGAGGGTCTGGACTGTCCACTCACCATTCCACCACTGACATGAGCTTGACAGAGCCTTCCTATTGCACCATTGTCCGCAATAGATTAGCCAGTCCTGTCAGGAGGTGGGATGACAAGCCTCTCTGCCAGGTCGCAGAGTGGCTAATCGATTGTAGACAATGGCACGATAAGAAGACTCCGTTGAGCTCACGTCAGCAGCAGAATGGTGACGGTGAAATAATGACCTCATTATTTCCACCTGTGGGGGGGGATATTCATATACGAATAACCCCATCTCTATTTACAGTTTTTTTATTATGCGGGCTACACATTGGATAAGATAAATGCATGGAGAATAAAGCTGTAAATGACTGATGTTCTTAATGCTATAGTTCCTGTTCCTGAAGTACTATACCTCTCAGTACTATACTGTTGGCAGCTAAGAATATGAGATTATTGCACTGATCCTGCTTGTGAGCTTTCCATAGGTATCTCCTTAGCCACTGGAAAACCAATGCTGATAAATGGACCATTAATGTGATGGTCCATTTACTAATAATAGCTGTTATTTTTATGTTGGGGGAAGGTTTTTTAAGTCTTAAAATATAAGTTAAAAGGGAAGAACTTACAGCAATAGGCTATATTTCACAACACATCCCATCCTGCTTCTAAACAAACCATAATTCCAGTCCCTTTTACCCCACTTCTGATCTTATCTAGGAGAATTTGGTGATGGTACTTAGAAAATAGAAGTGGTATTGATTTTTTTTTGACAGCTCACGGTTAATAATTTGCATAGTAAAAAAATTAGCTGTTTCATATAATTAGTGTTACTGGTTATGAAAATTCAGTCTACACTGACTTGAAGAAAAGCTTGATATGCAGGCCTAAAGAGGGCACACTTACTCCTACCATAATTATTCTCATTCAAGCTAAAGCTTTAACATATAAAAGACCTACACCTATCGAATCTACTGTTATGAAATAATTTATAGTACCTTTCATGATTTCAAACTATAGTAAAAGTTATCATGAACACACAGCACAGCAACACACTACAGCAAATGAGTATTTGGGACAAAGTAACCTTTTTCAAAGCGTTCCTTCTGAAGGCAGCCCATCTAAGAGAAGGAAAACTCTGATTTCAACCTCCCACTGAGGCGCCGCCATCATCCTCCATGCCATGAGGGAACAGGCCGGGTAGGTGGGACCCGTTCAGCCCTGGAAGGCAGCCCATCTAAGAGAAGAAAAACTCTGATTTCAAACCTCCACTGCCTTGCGGCTATATCCACTGATGGACAAGGCTTCAGGAGTGAACCTCAAGGCAAAATCCAGAACCAGAGTCCCGGAGGCAGTTCGTGTCATTCTGACAACGCCTGTGACGTTGCTGAAACCAGTTGTATTGGCTCTTGCCTTTCCATTGGACTATCTCAGTGACGTGGAGGGGGGATTTGCTTGTTGGTTAACAGCCTGTCCTCCATATTATTTTATCCAGGCTTTGTGCTCTGGAGAGGACACTCCAGCTTCACATGCAGCGTCAAAACACTATACGCTGTTCCAAGTCCTCCATGCAGAGCACGCTACCATAGTCTCTCGAGACTGAAGGATGCCTATGAATATTCTGATATGTTGGCTGAAATCCTGTTGCATAACTTTATACTGTGCAGTAATGATGTCATCATCTGGTGAGGTTTCAGTTTAATACAGAAATTCCTATCCACTCCTTAGAAGACTTTGAGAGCATCTGGGTTGTGGGGGAGCCACAAATTGCAGCTGGTAGTTCCACCATCTGGTCACCACCGCTGGCAGCAATTGTCCTATATAAAATGCTCCACATGCACCTAAAACAAAGCTCCCAAAGGCTTTCCTGGGATGGTCATGAACTTGGTGGGGGGGAGAGAAGTTTTAAATTAAAATAAAATAGTAACATTGCTGGGTGATTATGTCATCTTTATTTGTGATGTAAATTTATGCCTACTGGATTTTGCTGGGTGATTATGTCATCTTTGTGATGTAAATTTATGCCTACTGGATTTCAGTCACTCAACGCATAAAAATAATTAGCTTCATTCAAAAGTATGTTTAAACAGTAAAACAGTTGTGTAACAATTCTGAGGTAGTAACTGAACACACTACCTCAAAATCCAAACCAAAGTTGAGAGCCCTAAAACCAACATTTATAGATAACAGATGCATCTAAAAGTGTGCTTGGTGTTCAGTTTATTAGAACTTACAACATTAGTATTTCAGGCCCATCCATACTACCCATCAAGAGAAAGTGATGGTCACATTTCAGAAACTTGTATTTAATTTATTCCAGGCGCATTGCAGTCAACCATCTTCAGAAAATGAACAAAGTGGAACAAGTTCAATTCTTATTTTTAGCAGACTGAGTACTGAATTTTTAAAAAATTATGATTGTTTTCGCATGTTTTACTTGAAAGCTGGCCCATGGAAATGCACCTTTATCCTTAAGAAAGTAAGTTGATTTTTCTTCTTATAAAAGACAATGTCTGGACAATTCATTCTGGAGTATCTGTGATTGTCACTCTGACTTAATTCACGAACGACATATCCTTCAGAGCAGTCAAGTATGCATCCACAATCTCAGAAATTTGCAGAATATCTGGATGAGGAAAGGAAACAAATTACATACCACATAATGGAGTCAATACAGATAATTAATTTTGTTAATCAGTTGCTTGATCCACTAACTTCTCCAGGGATAGACTAAGATCCTAAGTATTAGTCACATATAGATGGCCCTCCGCATCCAGTTACAGAAAAATAGGTGGGTTTGTTTTCCTGTATAGTAATAATTATTTTTATTTTTACTTATTTTATTAGATTTATACCCCGCCCATCTAGATGAATGGTCTACTCTGGGCGGCAATTACATGCTGTCAGGTCAATTATAACATATGGTGATCCTTTTACACTCAGAAACGTTTTACTGGTCACTTTTTCTATGGGTGTTCTGTGACTGGACAGCTTTGCTAAAGCCCACAAAGGCTGGATCGTCTGTAAATTTGCCTACAAAAGATCCCCACACCATGATTTGATCCTGGTTTGCATAGTTGAGACACTCAAACCGTCCATAAGGCAAGTGCGTATAAATTGCTGGTAGCAATAATAATAATAATAATAATAATAATAATAATAATAATAGTAATAGTAATAGTAATAATAATAATAATAATAATAATAATAATAATAATAATAATAATAAAAATAAAAATAAAAATAAAAAATAAAAATAAAAATAAAAAATAAAAATAAAAAATAACAACAACGACTGCAGAGCTGGAAAAGACTCTGTATGATATCATTGAGTCCAGACTGTCAAGAAGGCACAATCTCAATCATAATTATGCAATGCACTGAAGAAAACTGAGGCATAACTTCACTAGCTTATCTGAAGGATGTTGCCAAGGTCAGACAAAAAAGTCGCTTCAGGAATTTTGTCATCGTGCCTTTATAGAGAGAAAACTGTAAACAGACACTGCAATTCGGCCTTTCGTGTCATCATTCCTTAGCAACACACAGTTTATATAGACTGAATTAGCAACTCCTTTGAGAAACACTTTAAATAACCCTAAGAGCAAAAACTCAGGGTGGAATGCAAATTTTTAAAAATCTGAATTCTGAAAAGTCAATATAAATTTATTTGTTTTGCATAATTTATTCTATTTACATGATGTATATTCTTCCCAATGCATCTAGATACAGAGTAAGATGGCTTGCAGAACTGGGGTCGAGGGACACGAAACAGATGCTGCACAGTACAGAGTTCTGAAGTCTTACTGTACTTCCCTTGGAATCCCTTGCATGTCAGGCTTTTAAAAACAGCTTTCACCACATATTTCCCATTATAACACATCTGTTTATATATCAGTTATGTCAGAGTTGTTCATTTAAAAAAAAACACTTTTAAATGTGTCATGTTCAGAGGACAGGTAGAACACATTATTTACCTAGCTGCTACCTATGGACTTAACATCAAGTTGCTGTAAAAAACATCTGATTATCAAGTTCTAGCTCATGTTTATTTATACTTTTCCAAGATCTTTTAAAATTGAGGCCAAAATGTTGTATTAGATATAGGGTACCTAACAAAATCAACTCTGAAAACAAGGAGAAAAAATTGACACTAACTGTGCTGCTTTTACCAAATGTTGCCCTGCAAATTTCAGTTAAAGCCTGGAGTCTTTCAGAGGAATGGCATTCTGTTAGCCCTTGACAGCAAGCCATTCTATTAGTATAAAAACAACTGAACTCTACTTTTTGCAGAAGATACAGGGGAATTAATTATTTAAGTATTCAGACAGATACTTCTCCAGGGATAGACTAAGATCCTAAGTATTAGTCACATATAGATGGCCCTCCGCATCCAGTTACAGAAAAATAGGTGGGTTTGTTTTCCTGTATAGTAATAATTATTATTTTTATTTTTACTTATTTTATTAGATTTATACCCCGCCCATCTAGATGAATGGTCTACTCTGGGCGGCAATTACATGCTGTCAGGTCAATTATAACATATGGTGATCCTTTTACACTCAGAAACATTTTACTGGTCACTTTTTCTATGGGTGTTCTGTGACTGGACAGCTTTGCTAAAGACCACAAAGGCTGGATCTTCTGTAAATTTGCCTACAAAAGATCCCCACACCATGATCTGATCCTGGTTTGCATAGTTGAGACACTCAAACCATCCATAAGGCAAGTGTGTATAAATTGCTGGTATGCACTAATAACAACAACTGCAGAGCTGGAAAAGACTCTGTATGATATCATTGAGTCCAGACTGTCAAGAAGGCACAATCTCAATCATAATTAGACATGCAGCTGAAGGAGGCATTTTTCAGAAGCGAATACCTTCCTGCTATTTCTCATAACCAAACTACCCAATGTTTCAGACAGGGAGAGCCCCCTGTCTTGGAGCAATAATAAATACTTCTCCAGCTTAAGTGGTTGATCACATAAGGCATTCTAGTAAGTACTTTACTGAGTGCCTAATCATAAGTACCGTGTTTCCCCGAAAATAATATTATACAGTATTATATTAATTTTTGCTCCAAAAAACTCATTAGGGCTTATTTTCAGGGGATGTTTTATTTTATAGTCATATCTTCTGCTTGCTGCACAATGCTGCACAATGGTGGAGGGTGGGGTTTCACTTAACTAGGGTTTATTTTTGGGGTAGAGCTTATATTACGAGCCTCCTGAAAAATCATACTAGGGCTTATTTTCAGGTTAGGTCTTATTTTCGGGGAAACAGGGTACATTTCAATACCAACATGGAAACAAAACGCCTATACATTCAATTATAACAGTATCAGAATCCTAGAAGTTACCTCACATTTAAGAGAACAAAATTTTTTTTAAGGAATTGCTTTCTTTTAGAGTCTTTTGTATGGATTACCTGAAGAGACAAAATGAACAAATGAAGTGTTATCTATTTACTATAATTCCCTTCAAGTTTAGTAATTTTTAGCTGCTCTATAAAGGCACAATAATGAGCTAATGAATATCCTATGTAAGTTCTATTGGAGGGGAAAAATCTAATTATGCTTTGTTGAACAGAAGAAACGGTAAAGAACTTTAACTGTCCAATCACCCTTGTATCAAATTAATAACGACAACAATACTGCCATCAAGTAGATTCCAACTTATTGTGACCCTGCCAGGGTTTTCTAACTATACAGTACTTAGAAGTGGTTCACCATTAGGACAGAGTGATACTCGAGAAGAAGCATCTGGAGCAACAATATGGAAAACTGCTTTAAGAATTTTCAAGACAAGCTATGCTCCACGCACAATACACTCAACAACTGCAGTTTTTCATAGCTGTACTATGCTCTTTAATAGTGCCCTCGGGATTAATTTTTGCCTGCTAACATCAACCATGAAACAGTTATATAGCACAGCGTAAGTTATAGATATAAGAAAATAGGTGTGTTAAGAGCTATTTGTTTTCTTCAGCAAATATATGACAAAAGCTTCAGAACTCATTAAGTGCTGGCTGTTGAGATACAGGCCCTGTCCAGGTTAAGGTGTATATAAGGTGTATATATTCTTTATAATCAATACATTGTTATAAATAAAAAAGCCCATGCTATATTAAACATAAAACCCACATGTATTTGTTAACCTCTGATTTTTTAAGCCTCCCACTTTTAACAACACTCTTTCCAAGGAGAATTCCTTTTCTGAAGATTCCTTTCCTTCACTTGAGTTTCCATCCATACTAACTAACAAAAAAGGAGTTGTTTCTTGTTAAAGAAACTGCAAAGGAAAAACCCTTGGGGGGAAAAAAGCAAAATAGCCATATGTGCCAGAAAAAATTAAAACATACACTAGGTTTTTATTGCACCTGTAGCTATTGTTTTCCTGATCTCTTGCCACCCACTGACAAGAAACACAAGAGGCTTACTGTATTTTATAAAGGATACAAAAGGATAGAAAACTAGGATACAAAATTCTCAATTATCAGCCCTTTTCAAACATTAATTAGAACAGTAATATGTACTTCCAGGCAGAAAAAAGTCTGTAACATTTAAATAAAAATAAAATAAACATTTAGCTCTCTATTCAGTTCTATCGAACATTCATTATGTATTTCCACCAGGCAGGTATTCTTCATGTAGAATGTTTCTGTCCTCTTTTTCTAGAAAAATAAATATAGAACTTGTTACATTTCTGCACTACACAGGAATTACAAGTGACATGTACTGTATATACATTTCAGCAAGTAACCAGGAACTCTGAAGCAAAACTTGCCCGAAAAGTATTCCCATTTTACCTATAACCACTATGAAGTACAGCCCAAAAAACTCTCTAAAAGAAAATGAATTCTCAGCTCCCAAGACATTTAGCTTTCTGGTACAAAAGGCTACCCCACTTTATATGCACATTTCCTAGAAAAATATAGTTACTTGCTCCTCACATTCTTTCTGCCACCCAGTTCAGTTTGAGGTTTTTATCCTTCTAAAAGTCATTTAGTGACATTTCTTTAGTACCATATTTATAACTGTTCATTTTGGAGGAACAGCCTAAGGTCAAAGCCTGATGTCGATAGAGGAAAACTGTGTGCTAGCAGAGTTCTGTGGGTTTTCCCTCTATTTCACAGAGTAGCACATTTTGCCCTCTTGATATACTACCACCTGGCTGCCCAGCCAGAACCTACATTAATTTTCTTGTTGCCCAAGTTCAAAACTCGATTATCTGTGAGGGAAACAGTATTTGTACTAGCAGAACAACACTACTAGATACTAGCCATACATTCATCTCCTTGAGGAGAGAGATTCCAGAAGTAATCACATCACAGATACGTTTAGTAAGTTAAAAGAAATTCAGATGATCCATGTTTGATGCACAAAACAGTGACAGGGATCACACGGAAGATAATTTGATTGGCCCAGGTATTTAAGTTAGAGTGATAAAAACAAAATTCCAACGGTATCCATCACTGAGTCAAGATTTTCAAAATTTTAATCTGTTCCCAAAGTTTAAATTTATAGAAAAACATTCTGCAAGGCTACATACCAAGTAAAGCTGTTGTTTCACCTGCATCTTCTTTTAAACTGTTACTGTTTAATGCAGATTCATTAGCAGAAGATCCTGATAAGTCACTTGTTTCATTTCTGTTCTCTTCTTGTATAGCAATAGTCCAGCTCTCAGCTGATATACTACCACTTACTGATTCAGACACTACAACATCAGGTACCTCTTTCGTTTCCCCCTTTAGAGTTTTAAAAAAGGAAAGAAACCACAAAAGAAAGCCATTAACACTGAGATACATATTGGGAAGCAGGACTGAAGAGATGTTATAAAACTGATTTACCAAGAAAAAAGTCTAATCCAAATGATATAAATTATCACCTAGCTTTTTTTACATTCACTACACCTGGGACCTTTTCTTGGCAAAACATACATTATGCATTAAGCTTTGGTCTCTAGATCAAAAAGAGGTATGTTTGGCATGCTCAGAGAAGTACATATTACATAGCACCATATAGGATGCTTATGTACCCAAAGTCTCCTTACAGATTTAACTACAGCTTTCCCCAACATACCCAATATCCTAGAGCTTTGATGACATCTAGTTTGCACATTGGACATGTCCTGTGTTCCAAAAGCCAGGGGTCAATGCAGTGCCTGTGGAAGACATGTCTAAAGACAGAGACAAAACCTTTAAAATCAAGTATAAGAATATAGAATCAAGGAGTTACAGATGCAGAAAGGACCCCATCCAAGTTAAAGAGAAAAGAAATCTGAAAGATTGATAGAGTACAGAAAAATGAACCACATATTTGGCAATGTAGCAAAAATTCCCTTAGTCTCATTTATTATTTAAAACCTTTTTTTGTCTCCAAGAATTCTCAAAGCATGAAAGATCTATAACAAAGTATGTTTAGGTGTAGAAGTTAAGAGTTAGAAGAACTGAACAAGTACCTCACTACAACCAGTGCAATAAAAAGCAAATACAAAGCCTCTATATTTATATACTTGAATGAATCACATAAGGCACTATCATTTTCCATTCTAAATACAGAGGTGCCTCGCATTACGAGCGCTCCGTTTTATGACAAAATCGCTTTACGTTGAAGGTTTTGCGATCACAAAACAATGTTTCCTATGGGGGAATTTTGCTTTGTGATAATCGGTTCCCTGCTTCGGGAACCGATTCTCGCAAAGCGATGATTTTCGGCCAGCTGATTGGCAGTTTCAAAATGGCCGCCAGGTAAAAAACATGGCTCCCCGCTCTTTTCTGGGATGGATTCCTCGCTGCACAGGCAGCGAAAATGGCCGCACTATGGAGGATCTTCGCTGGACGGTGAGTTTCAAGCCCCTAGGAATGCATTAATCGGGTTCTAATGCGTTTCTATGGGCTTTTTAATTTCGCATTACGATGTTTTTGTTCTACAGAAATTTTGCTGGAACGAATTAACGTCGTAATGCGAGGCACCACTGTACTGGACATTGGATGTTTTCATAAACTTCATTAAATAATTCTCAGGATGGACAACAGGAAGCAAAACAAAATAGTTTTAACAAGCTTACTTGCATGGCAGGATTCGGACTGCATCTTTTGGTTTATAGTTTTCAATGCAGATAGCACAGTTTTCTGCATCAATGTCTAGCCCCTTGGAAAAAAAGAAGTCTTATTTCAGCTTGGCAAAAATAATGTAAGATAGAAGTGAGTTCCAGTTTGCAGAATCCTGGTAGTCTATTTGTTGCCAGCAGTTGTTTGAAAATAAGCAATGAGTGGAGTTCTCTCTATTAGATACCTAAACAAGAATTTCTGAATACAAGATTACAAATGTCTGTAGAACCACCTTCTGGGAGATTGCTGGAATCTATGAATGTTTTATTGCATCTCATGAAATGCTCTGGAGGCCAAGAAAATAGCATCATTGCCAAAGCAGATAGTCTTGCTGCCCTCTCTTAGAGACTAATTGGTTGCAAAAGCCCTATGAGAGGGGAAAAGCTGACTGCTTCATCAAAGTAGCCATTTGTCACTTCAGCAACATACTTTTAAGTAACTCCCAACTATTAGGTTTTTAGCATTATAAATTTAAAGGAGCTCCCATGACAGAACATTTCAACAACTTAATTTTTCTGCTTATATACCTATGCAACATGTTAGACAAGTTGTTGACTCATGACCACATTTTGGAACAAACAAAACATGAGACTACCTCAGTCAGCATTTTAGAAAATAATTAAGATACTGTACTTGTTATATGAAAGATAGAAAATCAATGTTTTGAAAACCTAACTCAAGTGTGCCCAAACCTTGGGCATGCCTACTAAGAGTATGGCCCTCCCAATGTCTTCTCAAGTTCCTTCATTTCAACACAGGCCTGCTATATGCCTCTGGAGACTTCCATTCATATGCTCCCTTAAAGGCCCAATAAGTAGCACTGCTTTTGGTTCCCAGCAGTCTGTATATGTAACTCAGCATAAGAAGTTCTGCCCGTTTCATTTTCTGTTCCCGTTTCATTTTCTGTTCTAACACCTGATATTATTATGCTAGAAATTACCTTATCTTCATGCTTTACAATATGCAGGGACAGCTGGCCAATTGCTTTAATTGTTTCTTCTCTGTGGCCCTTAATAAAACAATTCAAGTTAGTCCAAATCTTTGATAACATTTTATCAGGAAGCATTCAAGATTCTAAATAACTGAACAACTACGGTTTGGCATTTCTCTACTGAAGGACACAAAAGCAGTCTTGTACCAATATTACCACTGTAAGTGGTCACAGTATAGACTTGGGTAAGATAATACTCAAATAATAATGAAAGTAATAATTTTTATGATACTGTTTTGAATAAAAAGAGGGATTCTCCCCACTACAAAACACAGACAGTGAAAGTACTGTTCAGCTCATTCCCACTTATGACTATTGCTACAGATCTCACTCTTTTAAAAATGTTGTCTGTCACTTTATATTATTTCTGGAACAAAATCTGGAATACAGTAAGTCCTTTCTTATGTCAAATTTGCACAAGAGTACTAGGAAATCCATGCACTGTTAAGCAAAGTGCACTCCCAGACTTGTGTACTTCTAACCAGTTTACCAACTAAACCTACAAGCAGTGAAGAATAACACCATTTCATTTCATCATCAGTTTTGTTAAACAGGTACTGTAACTGCCTTACATGACACTTCTAATTTACCATTACATTCCTAGCCAAATGATTCATTTAAATTGAAACAATTTCTATAAATACAAGTATGGTTTACATTTACAAGTTTCAGTGAGATTTATTTAGACTTTCAAGGAGCCACAAGCCATCTTTTAAGTTGATGGTGGGCATCATGTGGTCAGGGAACATGGGTGACCCCTTCCCAAGGCCATCTTTGTGGCTCCATAGCTCCTCCCAATCTTTTCCATCATCTTGTTGTTGTTATGAATGGAAAAAGCAGGCCTCCGGGGTCCAAGATTTTCTTCTAAAAAGAAAGCACTGGCTCCTTACAGAAACTATTTTAGCAGAAAATCTGATTTGTTTTTCAGAACCCAGTGTTTCTCTCTCTCTTTCTCTTTTTCTTCGTTTTTAAACATCAGCAGTGACATTCTAGTCATTTCTGATATACTGAGGAGACTGTGACACATGGAGTTTTCTGGAATCAGAAAAATGGCTGCTGGACCTGTGGAGCATGAGTTCCTGTCTTAAGTACCAGACAAAATTCAGGTCTTTCCAGTATATATTTGCCAGATGTTCTACACTAAGGAAAAGGAAGGCTAGCATAACTTTGATTTTTCAGACTGAAGATACAGCTGTTTGAAAGCTACTATTTTTTTTTCAGCTGTACTAATCTCCAGACTATGTTATGTTGTGTTTGCGGAGATGAAACCCCCAGCACTTCTGGGGAATTTTCAGCAGAACATAAGCATTTATGGGTGAAAAGAAAGTTCTCAAACTAGAAGAAATTAAACTTTGTACCACAGGAACTGGAAACTAAGAAGGCAGCCATTATAATTATATTTCATACTCCTCTTCATTACTGTATAAATCTCTGTCTACTAAAGCCTCACTCCATGCATCTGAAGAGATAAGCTATGGTCCACAAAATATATGCCAAATAAATCTTGGTAAGAGTGCTGTTTAACTTAAGAAGCTGTGGGAAAAGGATACCAAACAGGGTAGCTGAAAATAGGACATAAGCTGGATTTGTCTCCATAGTACATGAATATGCAAAACTAAAGCAATCAATTAATTTCATCATCTGAAGACCATTGCTCCTCATGTAGTTCAAAACATTAATCTGATGCTATTCAGGTATGTCTAGTTCTGGAAACAAGTTGGAGCAGGACATGAATTACTATTAAGAAACTTATGCAGGCTAAATAGCATTGGTAGATGAAAGAGGAAGATACAAAGACTGCTACACAATATTTAATTCAGTTAACACCTGCTTATCAATAGGCAAACATTTTTCATAGGAGAAAAAGGGAGAAAGAAAATTGCAGGTAACTACCTGTCTTCGAAACTGTGATCCAGAATAGAGGAAACGTTGTATATAAAAAAATATGAGCCATGCTAAAGATATAATCATCATGGTGATAAATGCTATTGCTACAAACACGACTGACTGTCCAGTGATATATTCTTGCACATGTTGTTTACCAACACCAATAGTCATTTTCACTGGAATCCCTCTTCTCACTGGCTCTAAGATCTCCATTCCTTTTGGATAACCAACCATAATTACAACGGTATTGCCAGTACCTGTTGAAGGGAAGAAAAACAGGAATCAAGTGGACTCTTTTTACATGTTTATGTCTTAAATATCCAACTGCATTGTACATAATGTTAAGCTGACAAGAACAGTTCTTGCAATAGGCTCTCTCTCTTGTTTTCAGGCGTATAAGTTGAAGATAAGTAGTAGAAGGTGAGGACAAGTGTACCTCCTAGAAATGTAAACCTACTGAATGCAGAAAATACAAAACATGTTATAGGCTTAAGATCTTAGAATTCAATAGTCTCTGCACCCTTATCTGAGGCATTGTCTCTTTGTTGCTGAGTGATGGAAAAATTGATTTGTTATAATTTCATGTGCTCATCTCCTATTTAAGGATTATAAGAACTTCTGTACACTAGATTTGTCCAACAATAAGATGTATTGTTATTTTTTCATTAGAATTTTTTATCTAGTAAACTTCTGTTGTAATGCCTCTAGTTGTTCAGGATCACATTCCTTGCCAATTATGTGGCATACTGAGACTGCTACCTCTAGTGATTCAAGCAAAAATATGCAAAATACAGTATATAAATTCCAGTATTGTATGAGAATTTCATTTCTGCTTAAGACTCATTCTGAAAATAAGAATATGAATAGATGTTCGATACTGTACCTACAACATCATTTACTGTGACACTACTCCACATTTTAAATCTGTAGGCACATAGATCCAGCTTTATCTTTCATTAGTATGCTAAGAAAGCAAGAGGAGAAAGCTTATTATCTTATGTTACAGTCCAACTGTGACTGAACCAGTAAGAAAGCCTTGTATTAAATGCATCCTTGATAATATTCTGACACTTTGAATTATAGTTCATTTTACACTGAACATGTACAACTGCAGGCACTTGAAGTCAAATAAATAAGTGTCACTATGATGGAGAAAGGTTTTTATTTATGACTGAGAATATAAAATACATAAACATCAAGAAGTCAAATTCTAGTAATCTAGTCAGGAAGTTCAGCTACACATTTTGGCATTTTACTGCCAATGTCACACTAAGTCTTACACTTCAGTAAGACTGCCATCCAATGATACTACACATTTCTTTATAAGAGAACAAGAAACAGATGATTCAAACACAGCTTCTCCAAGGCAGCTTCTCCTCTAGTCTCTCTAAAACACTTCCTGCCATTCATTTCCTTACATATAACATCTTACAGTTCACAGCCTTATATAATACACACAGGAGTCCAAAACAAACTCTAGTAGTATGCATATATGAGACGAAAAGAGTTAGTATTTTCTGTTTATGGAAAGCAAGACTCTGAATTATAGCTAAGAATCAACTATGTCCAGTTTTTAAATAGTCACCTATATGACTCATACATTCAGCCAAGATGCACTGAAAAACTATCCAATATCTCAAACTCTGTATCATATCTCAATGTGTGCAGATTTTGTACTTTCCAGACTTCAGAATATTCCTCAGTGAGGCCACATAGACAATTTGAGCCAAGCTAGTGAATCTCAAGACACAAAAAACTCAATAGTCAATTTCCTGTTGCTACTTCCAACTGGAGCAGGTCCACTATATCAACTGCTAAATGGTACAGTGATTCAGTGGGTCTACCTTAATTGGGATAGCAATATGATATTGTCCAATGAAACAGAAATAAAATTTCTGGAGAAAGACTAGACAAAGTCAAGGTCAGTTTAAAGTGATAGTGTTATTTGCTTCAAAATATGAGGCACATCACAAAAAGCTATGGGAAACAGTTAAGACAGATAATGTGCAAACAGGCAATTCCACGAAACTAAAACTGACAAAATAAGCATGCCATACTAGTATGAGATATTTCAAAGCCTTTGAAACAGTTCCTCCACAGAAAAATATTATGTCAAAAGATGTAGAAAAACCAGCACATTTAGTGCCTCCATTCTCATATAGTAACAGCATCCAAGCATGTTTTCTTGCATCCACCTTTATTCCACTGTAAATTTCATGCAACTTGAAGTCACCACAGACCTACTGTACAAAATGTGCAGTCTCCCTATACAACCAGAATCTGTTCATACCCAACTTGATGCGATTGTTCTTCCTAATTACATGCTTTCACCTTGTTTCAAAAGCACTTCTAAAACTGAAATTTACTTGTTGGAATGATTCATACCCAGTCTCCATAAGGTTGTCTGAATTTTCCTAGGGATGACTGTAACCTCTCTGGAACACTTCATATTTTGCACTCAGTTCTTCTACAATGCAGAGAATTGGTTTTATACTTATTTTTCACAGCAAATGTGTCACTCCACTACAAAATCGTTCAGTTGGTTTGAGGAGAGTATTATTATCTAATACACAGCTATTAGATACCGTACTAACTAATGCTGTATTCCATTTCTTGTCTAGATATGGCTACTAAACACTTTTGACAAATTGCAAGACTGAGAAATACTAAAGTGTTTGCAAGCCAGTAATTTGCATGAGGAAAATGTCACTAAACAGCTAGTTTAGTCAAAACAAGTTGTCATTCAGTGTTTTATCCAGGAACACAATAAACTTTAGCATGCGCTAAAACTATCTTTTCCCCCTCTGTACTATTATAAAATTCTGCAGCATCCTTTTGAAAAGGCAGAACATAACAGGCCTCTATTTAACAGCTTCAGTTCCTTGCCCTTCCCAGTTCAACACCAGTTGCAAACCTACTAAAGAAAATCAAACCACCAAACAAGTCTAATTACTGTGTCCGATACCAATCCTATTTTCTAAAGTTTGCACAAATCGTCAGTCAGTAAGGTCTTCTGCGCCTTAGCTTAAAACATGTTCCTCCTCAGCCTTTCAAATAATTCAAAAGGTGTATTTAGTCTCCTGCTCTTTAAACAGTTGTAATCATGTTATGGTAACAGCTTTTAAAGTTATGAACAGTATGGGAAAAGAGTTTCCTCCCTCTGTAATAATGATAGAACTTGCAGTGTTCATCCCTGAAAATTAAATGGCTTAGGTTTGTTGACAGTAAAAAGCATGTACTCACCAACAAAGTTAATTTGCCATCACAACACATACAAATCGAGTGCCTTTGAAGCAAGACCAAGGAAATTTATAGGTTTAAAACTGCTTCTGAAGTCATTATGGCAACGCGGAACTAGAATTTCCACAGTCACAGAGAGCATCTCATTAAGTAACAGCTGCTTGGTGCAACAGCAAAAAAAAACCAAAACTGTTTTCTTCATGCTCTTTTTTAGGACTTCTTAGAGACATCTGACTAACTTCTATTAGTGATAAGACTGTGTAGTAGCTGAAGTGTTTGAGAGACCCAGATATTCACCCCATCTAATCAACCCCAAGATACATACATACATACATAGATTTTTGACGTGATATAACAACTCTTCTACTGCTTTGAGTGCCTCCCATTACTACCATCACTTGTACAGCCAGATCAGTGTTAACAAGCCCTGATTTACACATTCCTCAATATGGTGTTAAAATGGACTGCCAGAGCACAGAGAAGGGTATCCCTTCTGAATACTCCCTGTACTTAAAAATAACCCAACAGAGAAACAGTACAAATGGGGACCGATTCTACTCTTCAAAGGTATTTGAATGTGAAGCCCACGGAACAGTCTCACCCTAATTTCAATGGGGTTGCTTTCCAGGTTAAGCGTTTTATAACACTGCAACCCTGTTTAAAGGAACTTTTTATTCAGATGTGAATAAACCTCCCGTGGTGTGACCAAACCCTCAGCTTCCCTCGGCATTTCAGAGAGGAATCATTCTCTTCCCCCCCCCCTTACCTTTTATCACCTGGAGCCCCATCACTACCACCACCAACAACAACAACCTTGTTCGGGTCCTTTTCGTCCCTTCTTACAGCTGCCCTTGCCCACCCCCGTCCTCCCCCAATCTCTCTGCCGGCCACTGACCCAGGTGAGGCACCGTGAAGGTGGAGTTGCCGAAGCGGGGCTCGTTGTAGATCACCACGGCCGTCGCCCTCTTCCTGGCCGCGTTGGCCACTTTGTCCTTCAAAGAGCATCCCCCGTGGGCCACCAGGGCGATCCAGGAGGCAAGCGGCAGAGCAGCGTCGCCCGACGGCTCCCCTGAGGGGCGGCGAGAAGCGCCCAGAGGCATCGGGACCTCGTACTCGACGTCCGGGGCGCAGCCTTCCATGGGGCGGGCGGTGGTGGCGGCGCTGCCGCCGCTGCGAGGGATGCCCACGAGGCCTTGCGCGTTCACTTTCGGCGAGCTCTCCCCGTAGCGGCCGCTTTCGGCGCTGCCCCACACGGTGCGGTTGGTGCCGGGCTCGGTGTACACCGTGCTCACCCACGCCGTGTACCACACCAGCGACCAGGAGACCCGCGGGGCCCCCCACGCCGCCCACACGAGCAGCAGCGGCAGCGGCGCCCGACGCACCGAGACCATGGCTGCCGGGTCCTCAAGGAAAGCTGGCTAGGCTGAGCCGAGGAGCGCGCCAGGCCGCCCACGAGTGCCCAGCACGGCCGCAGCGGCGCCTCCAACCGCCGTGGCCGGGTGCCCGCCCCTCTCCCCCGTGGTGTCCCCAACCCTCGGGTGGCTGCACGGCTACGGCCGAAAATGGGACCAAACGGCGGGGGTTGCCGGCGTCGTTCCTCCTTCCCTCTCCCGCCCAGGCCAAGGCGAGGCCTCCTCTGGGCCAACCCCCTTATTCCCGCCTCAGAGCCGCCAGACTCGCGCGTCGCGCTTTTGTTAGCAGCCGCCCGCTTTCCTCGCTCGGCTTCCTTTCTGCCGAAGCAGGCGGTGTGTGTGTGTGTGTGTGGGGGATCTCTCCTTTGGGGACGGCATCGTCCTTTAAGAAAAGAAAAGCGGAGTGTAGCGTCTGGCAGCCTCGGGAAGCTGAAATTCGTATGTTGTGTTGAGGTATATGAGGGATTAACATCGGATGGCCCTACACCACGAAGCTCGACCTGGCTCTGTCGGGGGTTTCCCTAGGCGGCAAGATGCTGCCTAGCTAGAGATTTTTCTGCGGCACGGCAACCCCACAGATCGAAAGGTTCGTGATGATCATAAGGTTTCCTCTTCAGCTTCTGATGTAATGGCGGCAGGATTGGTGCTCCATACATTCCTTTTTTATTTCATCCCACATATTGGCCTTAAGCCACTTTGAAAATCCTATTATGCCAGGCAGCATGGAGCTGGGCAGTGCCTGGCTGCTGCGGGACATTCATCACCAGTGCCAATTCTGTTACTGTCAAAGTGCCGACCACTTTTTTCCTCACCTCCGCTTTGGACCCAGCCTCAGTTAATGCATTAACTCGGCCTTAATAAATACTCTCTGGATGCCAGAAAAATAGTTGCTATGATTTTGTTTAGTCATTAAGTCGTGTCCGTCTCTTCGTGACCCCATGGACCAGAGCACGCCAGGCCCTCCTGTTTTCCACTGCCTCCCGAAGTTGGGTCAAATACTGAATTATAATATATGTATATAAATCAATAACCAAAGATATATTAACGACTGCAAATACGACAGTAACCAAAGAGATATGTTCAGGAGCGTAGCCTCTCAATGAGATTTCAAAATAATGCAAGGAATTAAGATGGTAAATTTTAAGTCTAAGGATCATGCAAGAAAAGTTTGTTTTATTTACCTATAAAAAGTCTAATTTGTTCAGAAGTTGCAAGTACTGTATCAGGTTGGAAGTTCCAGGTCCCCAGTGCCTCATTGACAGGCTGGACTCGATGATCCATAGGGTTCCTTCCAGTTCTGCAGTTGTAACCTGGTGGTGGTATACTCAAATTGTTTACATTTCCCACAAGGAATTCAAAGCAGGCTACATAGTTTTCCCTCCTATTTTATCCCCACAACAGAAATCTACTAAAATAGGTTGGGTTACAAAGCAATGGACTGGTTCAAGGTCACACAGGGAGCTTCAGGAAGTGAGGTTCTGAA